GCTGAGCATTTCTCTGCTGTATTCTTGAAGATGAAGTTCATACTCAAGAATTTGCACTTGTTTTGGAAGCACAATATCAGTGGGGTGGGATTTTTTATTTTTTTGGTTGTAAGGGTGGGGGCTAGTTTGTATGTTCATGTAGTACTTATCTATAATCAGAGGTCCCAAAACTTTCATGTTCAAGGCAAAAAGATTATTCATTGTTGACTCAAGTTGTAGAGCTCTCAGATTAAAACCAGCCTCTATGCCTTGTTTGCTGATCATTCCAGTTCGTATAAAGCCTACTGCAGTTTGCTAGTTATGGAACTTTCAAATTGAAGATTTCTCAACTTAAAAGTCTTATTTCCCTGGTAATTCTGGTGCAGAAAATTGACCAAATGTATGCTGTATTTACCGGCCAACCCCTTGAGAAAGTGCAACAATACACTGAGAGAGATCGTTTCTTATCTACTTCAGAGATATGCGGCTCAACTTCTTTTCCTTTTTCCTTTTGATGTGAAGTGGTCGTTCCCAGACATTATTGCTTGGGAAAACCTGTTTCGACACCTGTACGTGTGTGCATGTGGTTATGCATTTATGTGTGCACCCCACAGTTTTGGAGAAAAGAAAATGGGAGAAGAAAAAGATTGTTCTAGTAAAAATCGTATGTATGAGATAACATCAAATTTTGCCTACTCTTTCATGTTTCTGAGCTGCCTGTGTCACTCTTATAATTGGTTCGTTATGCATTTGTTTAGATTCCGTTAAAATTCATGCTCATAATCGAACACCTGACAATAGTCACAAAGCAGTGATCTTGCATACATGTCATCTTTTGGCAGTTTATGACTGCTTCAAGCTATTTATTCATCTTAGCATTTCACTCAGCTAATTAGGTGGTGGGCATTTTAAAAGCCATATGCAATTAGTAATCACCATGCTCCTTGTGCCACCCTTTCGCTGCAGGCTATGGAGTTTGGGCTCATTGATGGCATCCTGGAAACAGGATATCAAACTAGGATCTATCCGCTCAACAACATCATCGGATATAGTTTTGATGTGAAGTCGAGCCGCCCCCTTTTTTGTTGGCATTTGTGATTCAACGTTATTAAGTAGGTATTATAAATTTCAGTGCCAACGTGCAAGAATTTTGATTTTACAAACTCGGATGGTTCAGGTTCTTTGCACGACTAAGCTTATCAACATTCCTCGTAGAACAATCTGAAGCTTATCAACATTCCACCTGGTGATTGTTCCAAGTGGGCTCTTTTTCTCCAACTGCAGTTCTTCGGCCACTTGGGGGAAAAATCCAGGATTTCCTTTCCCACGAGTTATTTGGGAGCTAATGCATACCTGATAACAATTGCAGGATGCTGGAGCTTGCCAACATCGATAGCTTTGTAATCCACTTGAGATTAAACAATTCTCAATCACATTAGCTACAAGATACCAAAATCTTACAAGAAGATGTATAAAATGCCAAACTAGTCGAAGCCCAAAATTTCCAACCTGCGCGAAACCTTAAAACCCAAAATAATTATCTCCTCTAGAGTCAAGGAAAAATACACAAAGCATAGACATTCGTATTGAATATATGTTTTTGGATATTATCATGCAAGCTTACAAGTCAAATTAAAATAAAATACCTTCTCTGAACAATTTTAAAGATATACTCGTATTTCCATGTTGGCATAATATATTTAGAAGAATTTAATAAAATTTCTTGGATGTTTCGCCAAAATTTAAATTTAAAAAATCAAGAAAGTTAATAGGCCCCGAGATCAATCTCTTGAAGTTATAACCCATTTCTTATTAGAGAGGGGATTGTAATTTCAACATAATTTTCACATAAAAAGAATTTACAGCGTGGCACCTGAGAATGGAGAGGCCTGCCTATTTTATTGTGCATTCTAAAATATATAATAATATAAGATATATATTTTTGGATATTCTCAAACAACTTGCACAATAAATTAAGATAATATGCTTTTTTTAAAAAAAATATTTTAAAGACGCACTCATACCCGATATCAATGATCTGAATCTAAAAAGTTTAATTACTCATGCCAATCCTATAAAATTGGTTACATATAAATAAAGTCATCAACATACAATGATTCGTGCAAGATATCCTAAGATTACTATCAAACATTTTGACTGCTCAGCTACATAGGAATTAAAAATATATATATTTGCGGAGGCAAGCATCTAGTACACAGCGAAGAACGAAGAGGAAACAACCACAAACATCCGTTGCCGCTGTTCTCTTCTCTCCCGATAACTCCTTAGCCTCGAACACATTAGATGCCGCACCGACGAAATCTTGGTAGACGTTGCTTAACAAGTCTACGATGTTGTCCATCGCCAAAATCTCAAGATTCTTCCATTCAACTATACAATAAAAAACAAATAATAAAGAACGAGAAAAAAATAAAAAATATATATATTTGAATCATGAAGTTTGGATTTCGAATTTATGGAATAATATCTTGTAATGCCAAATCCTAGGTATAAATTTTGATTGGTTATCTTGGCGGTCGCCAAGATTTTGATTGGTGACTCGATCGGTCTATTTTTTACTGCTTCTAACTCTCTCTTTCGTGCTGTTCTTATCTGTGCTGGTATAAATTTGGGCCTGCAGTTATTTCTTGAATTATATTGGGTTGGACTCGGCCTTTATTGGGCCGAAACTTTTCTAGATAGCCTATTATGTGGTTTCAACTAGTTATGGTGAGTGAAGCGATCCTCAAATTTGTTTTAGGTAATCCAAGAAATATATGATAATAATTGGATTTAAATCCTCTAAGATAATCTTTATCAAATCTCAAATGTTTTATCTTACTTCAAATTTAAAATCAATTAACTATCTTAATTACAAATTTCAAGTCGTTATATATATATATATATATATATATGTTAAAAAGTTACACTTACATTTTGAAGTGATTGCTTAATGTAAAACTCTGTTAGCGATGGATGGCAATGTTGTACAATGCAACGACCATTGAGTATTTCACTTTAGCTATTGATTTTATGGTTTTTTTAATATACTCTCGATAATTATATATATAAAAAATAACCATTGAAAGTTCAGTTTCTCATGATAAAGAATATTTAAAATTCATTTTTATGATTAGTGTGTGCAACTTTGCAGTTTGCATTAATTCATGAAATATTATACTTCACTCTCTCTATATATATCTTAAAAGCATGTTACTGTGCTGCGTGTTGTCAATCACTGTCCTTGCAACGAATTTAAGGTCCATATGTATCAACGGAATCTACAAATAGTCCAAAAAAAACCACGACAGAACTTTTACTTCATTTTATTTTTTATTTTCAGTGCCAAGTTTTTCTTTCTATTTTCCCTTTCTCCCACCTGTCTTCAAATAAAAAAAACCAAGACTTCAAATTTCAAAAAAGTAGCACGTACCTTTTGGGTATGAAAATTTTTTTGGTATCAAACCATAACAAATGTACATAATAAGCTCATACTTATTAAATTTTGAAAAAATAAATCAAGTTTAATCTTGGATAGCTATACCTCATACATGGTGATAAAGTATATTCCTATTCGCTATATGATAGAACATTCATAAAATAATATTTCACATTATTTCAAGTGAATTTTGTCCTTTAAAAGACATCTCATAATAAAAGAGATGTTTTCAGTGCTATATAAACAATTAAAACTCTTATATCTTAATTGATATGAAATAATAGCTTTATTAGAGCCCTCATATAAAGTGCTTGAATAAAACATATAACTTATTCCCACAAATAGCACTAACTAATAAGGTGTATTCATATCTATGGTATGGTAGATTCATTATGAGTTATTGTCTCACATGATTTATAATGAATTTTATTTTTTTTAAAAATACTTTATAATAAAAGAGATGAGGACTCTTATTCTAATGAATGTTCGACAATGGCCTCCTCACATGAATTTTTTTTTTAATTATGTTTGATATTATTTTTTGCTCACAGAATGTAAGATGTAGCCATTAGATGTGTGGGCACTGAGGACCAGATCATAGTGCCATCAATGTGAGGCAATGCAATGACCAAGGAGGTTCCCTTTTCAGCTGCTTGCTGATTAATGGGCACGTACGTAATAGTTCCTTGCAATTTCGTTTCTGCGATCAGTGTTTGCGTTTATACACACATTAGTTTCTTACAATCTCGATTGCAACATTGCATGTACAAAGCACCACCCATCCTTTGTCCTTGTTAAGTTGGTCCTTACGTAGCAGGCGCCTCTGTCAGTCCATGAAAGGTGAGCCAGCAGTTCTTATATACAGTCACTCCAGGAGAGTGCTGGTAACACCTTTTAATTTATTTGTTTTTTTTAGTATTATTAAACTTATTGCTAATTACTAGACTACAAATTAAAATGCTATTTGGAGAAGACACCATATTAACCATACCTGCTCGGGAAAAACAGCATTTAATCTCCATATTTATGTTTTCTTGTGTACATGATTACATTCGAAATTACATGACTTTGGACATTATGGAAGTCTAAGAGATATTTATGACAGCATTTTGATAAAAACAGAAAATTAAGAAAGAGATAAGACTCTTAGATTCTTATCTCTCTCCCCGCTTAGTTATCTCCCTACATTAATTCTCTCACTTCAGTTTATTCATCGAGGCTTTTAATTAATTTTCTTCCTCGACGGGCACCAGCAGTAGTCACCGGACTTGCTGAAACAGAGTGAAAAAGTCCCAGTAAAAAAGGTGACCGGTAGGGGAAAAACACTGCAACAAACTCCATAACAAACACAGAGAAAGATAACCGGTAGTCTCTCTTTTTTTCTTCTACTTTTCAAAATTTGAAAGAAATATTATCAACTTCCGTCTTTATCTTATATATTCTGTTTCCATATCTCTATCTCCAGTTTTTAATGTCATTTTGAAATCCATCTCTCTTGTTTTTCTCTCTGTCTTCATAACCAAAATGCCAACATTGTCTTTTCACTAAAACCCTAATCCTATCTCCCTCTTTTACTCACACCATGAAGAGCCAAGAAGATTTAGAAATCAATGAGCAAGATGTCTCGATGAAGAGAAAGCACAGCAGTAACAACAACAATAACAACAGCATTAGCCATCAAGATTTGGAAGGTGAAGATAAAGAAGATTTTGACCTTACACTTTCTTTATCTTTTGGTCCTCGGAGATCCAAAAAGAAAACTACCCTAAACACTGCAAGACCACAGTTATCATTGTCATTGCCGCCACCTGTAACATCAGAAACTCATCAACCATTACCACAGCATCAAGATATCCCTCAAATTGAAATCCCACCGGATGCCCAGATGACACCAAGGCCTCTTGACCCTATTCAGCTTTCTCCCAAACACGCCCCATTCGCTGATATTCCTGTGACTGAACCATTGCTATACACTACTGCTCCAATAAACCATGAAAGTTCCATGGCTGGTCCTCCTCGCGCTCCACGCACACGCCGGAACTCTTCTCAGGGTCCTCGGGAAGGGAAAGGGGAAGCTGTTCCCGTCTTGTATCCTTGGGCCATGGATCGTCGTGCCATGGTGCATAGCTTGGACTATTTGCTATCAAGAAGAATAGAAACCATTACTGGTTTAGTCCAATGCAAGAGATGTGAAAAACAATATGAATTAGGGTTTGACTTGAGAGCCAAGTTTGTAGAAATCGGTGCGTTTATTTCTCAAAACAAGAGTTTCATGCATGATAGGGCACCAAGTGATTGGATGAATCCGGTATTGCCCAGATGCCAATTTTGCGACCAGGAAAATAGCGTGAAGCCTGTGATTGCCAACAAGAAGCAGAAGATTAATTGGTTGTTTTTGCTTTTGGGGCAAATGTTAGGCTGCTGTACTCTTGATCAGTTGAAATATTTTTGCAAGCACACAAAAAATCATCGCACTGGGGCTAAGGATCGTGTTCTCTATCTTGCTTATCTTGGAATGTGTAAACAGCTTGATCCCAATGGCCCTTTTGATCGCTGAATTGGAAGGAGGAGGATCTTTTATTTGCTGCTGCTGATTCTGAGTGAGGTGGTATATCATCATGTGTTTTGTTTTGTGTGTGTAACATGTTGTCGTACTACCAGAGTATGCATATGTGGATTAGTAAATAGTTAATTTAGTTTGGTTGGTGGGTTCATGGATTTTCTTTTGATTTTGTACTTTTTTTTAAAATATTGTTTAGCTAGGCAAGATCAATTTCCATATTGGAAGCCTTATAATATCATCATACCATGTATCCGCTTGATCTTGCTATATATTTATATATATTATGATATGGGATTAACTCCAATCTTTCTTCCTTTTTCGAGAATTACCAAGCTTTAAAAAAAAAATGAATAGTTTGATGCTAACTAATGTTTAGGCGTTAGTGTTTTTTTTCTCGGAATGTAGATTCTGATGTCTGAATGCTGGCCCCTTCAAACTTTTCTTCCAAGCAAATTTCATAGAAGCACTGGTGCTTGATGTTTTTCCCAGGCTAGTTACGGTTTAATTTAGATGGCTTGGTCCGGTGGTATAGAGTCTTGACTCGTCATAATGCAACCAGTACCAGCTCACACCATCCAAATGAGAGGCTTGTCCTTGGGGTACTGAGCCAGCTGATAAGAGGGTGAAACATCGAATCCTGCTAAACATACAATCCTGCAGATTTTGTTAATAGGCTAAAACAAATTAATTTAAAGCTAAAAACATATATATAAAAAAAAAAACTAAAGACATCAAAAAATCTCCTAACTTTTTAAAAATAATCGGATAATTTGTCATCGGATGAGAAAGAGAGAGGTTCTACATGGCTAGTTACCAGGCCCGGGCCCATTTCTGAAGTAGTCGGATGATTTATCTATCCCAGCAATGATGTGTGCTGTTATACCAGGTGTCCACTGCTTTGATTAATTGCACCAGGTCTGATGGGCCATGATTTGTAACACCTATGAGGCCAGCTTCTAGATAGAAATCCATGTTCTATGTCTTAGACTTTAATCTTATCCAAAAACGGAGAGAAATAGCTAGACTTTACCACATTTAGGAGGCCCATTAATAATAAAAGAATTTGATAAAATGGCTGGTCCAAAGGTATCTCAGTCTCAAATTCTTAAGATAAAATTTGTTTATTGTTTTCTTAATTGTTATTTATTGAGTTAATGACACTAATTCAAGAAAAAAAAAGAATTTTTTTTTAATTCTAATCATGTAAAAAAACTGCCGAAAATTAATATACCTCTGGAAAGGAAATTATTATTATTATTATTATTTATTATTATTTTTAAGAGAAAAGTAAAGAGTACAAGCATGTAAGTTTGGTCAGCCGTGCAAATATAGCACGAGGAGCATGATTAGCTTAAAGAGAAGAAAAGATATTTGATTCTCTAGAAAGTCATTTTTGATGATTAAAAAGGTGCTACATAGCAACTTTTTATCATTGATTTATAAGGTAAATACTGTGAGTTTTTTTATTTTTATTTTGGCAGGGTTAATCTTTGAAATAATTTTTTAAAATTTATTTTTTATATATGACATAAAAATATTTTGAAAAATTAATTTAAAATGAAAAAAATATTTTTTTATTTTCTAAAATATTTTTAAAATAAAAAAATAAACAACTCTATACGGATATTTATAGCTTTGTCTGCGAGTGGGTGGTTGCTGGCTAATCAATGCCTTTCATATCAATACACCAAAGATTTCATTTATGACTTGAGATGCTTTGTGGATCCATAACCGCGAAGAAATAAAAAATAAACGGTACGTACGGTTAGTTATTTTCTTTAAAAATTCACGAAAACTTTACTTTCAGAGCAGGTAAATACGTTGTTTTATTGGCTAAAAACTGGATTTGATTTTGATGTGTGCAAATTGAATGAAGAAAATCGGTTGCAAGACTACAAAAATTTAAATATTGGTTTGATTCCTGGGTTTCTACTCTCTACAGTGAACGAGCGAAAAATCAACGAAGAGAGCGTTGTCTTCCAAGCAGACTCCAGACCTTGACGGAGCGACAGAGAGGGTGGCAGTCGAAAAGACAAAAAGAGGATCCAAGGACGCCTCGTCGCCATACACGAAAGACCCAGCACAGAACAGCCACAAAAAGACTGGACTATTTCAGTCTCGTCCCTAGTTTACCAGAAACGTCAAAGAAACCATAAATTATCGCTATTAATTCAATATCGTCCTTTTATTTAATACTCGTCTATTTTTGCCATCGTACTCACAGGCATAACGTTGGATCCCTCCATGGACAGACTCGAGTCCAGTGACTGTGTATACAGTAATGAACTCAGAATAGTATTTAAAAATAATAAAGTTATTACCTCGCATGTAAAATGAAAAGTATTCTACAGTGAGATCAAAGTTACCTTTTCTTCTCAAATGTTTTTTTTTAATAAAAAAGTACTTTTCATTTACATGTTCTTATAAGAATTCACTAAGCATGAAAAAAGTGTGAAAATATTACTCAGAGAAATAGTATTTTGTGCAAATAAATAAGACTATTATAAAAAGACTTGCCCTCTCTCGTAATTTTAACATGGGCTTATTATTAAATGACAAAACTAGCATTATGCTTGGTATGACTTTTAAATTATGATTTTTAACTTTTGATTCATGATTCAGAGGTTATTTTTTAGAAATAAATTGTAACAAAATCAAGCAAGAATGAATTTAAATAAAAATACATTTAATAAAGAATGATTAAATACAACTTTTTAAAAAAATAAAGAATTAAAAATTTCAAATTTCAATTAAATTAAATTAAAAATTTAACTCAATTTTATTACAAAATTCTGATTTAAGTGAGAATTTATTCCTAACTAGACATAATTATAACTTTTTTATTTATTTATGTAAAAAGTAAGAAAACAACTTAAATTAATTTGCAAAAGCTACACCAAAGACAAATTAAATTGAAACATTTGGAATACCTAGAGGATACAAATGTAGTTTGTCCGATAAAACGGAACATCCACAAACAGAGAGAAGGGGGAAGAGAGAGAGACAAAAAAAAAGATGAAAGAGAAACAATGGCAGCAAAAGCAAATACAATAAGAGGAAACAAAACTAACAGCAGCCTCACCTCTCCATTTCCTCCCTTCCCTCTCACCCATCACTCCATTTCCTTCCTCCCTGTAAACCCTAGAAACAAAATTATACCTTAAAAACACACACATTTGCTCTCTCCACCCTCACCCTCGCATTCAGAATCAAACAAAGCATGTTTCTCTAAATCAAACAAAAATCCATCAATTCAATTCTCCATTTATCTGACAATGGAGTCATTAATAGAGCTCTGTGATCTAATCTCACAAAATCCTGCACAATTCGCTGATAAATTGACCTGGCTATGCAATCGCTGTCCTCAACCAGAGTCTCTCTTAACCGGATCGCCCAGGGTTTCTCACTCACAAATCAATGCAATCCTCGCAGTTTCTCGATTCCTCTCCATAACCCTCGACCACACCGATAACCGTCCAAAATCACTAATCCTTGCTTTCTTCCGCTCAATCCCGACGTCGTTTAATCCTTCCTTCTGGCCACAATCCTTCTCTACCTACTCGATCGCGTCTTTTTTTACCGACTTCTTGGCTTACGTGTCAAAGTCGGCCGAATTGGATCCGGGTTTCTCCGAGGATGTTGCCGGATTTGTTGGAGAAGTTGTTATGGCTGCGATTGGGAACAATGCCGGTGAAAATTTGGCCAGCTCGGCGATTTCTAGGGTTTTTTTAATTGCGTTAACAGAGAATTTTGTTCCGATTTTGCCGGAAGATGGGGAGAAGTTGATCACGTGCCTTTTAGATCAGTTTAATGTGCCCGTACTGGTGCCATCGTCACCTAGTGAGCGAATTGGGATGAACTCTGGAACGTCATCCTCACAAAGTTCGCCATTGAGTAATAATGTGAAACAACATAATAGTAGCCACGATGCCAATAATGAGATTTCGATTACGGTGAATGATTTGAGTCATATGACACTGTCTTCGTCGAGTGCATCAACGACAGTGGTGGTGAATGGGAGTGGAGTTACGTGGAAGAGTGGTTTGGAGTCAACGGGGGTGGGATTTGATGGAAGTGGGGGATTGAGCAGGCTACAAGTGGCTTCATTTGAGGAAGAGAGTGCGGAGGGATTGGAGAAGCAAGAGATTGCGTACAAGTTGATTGGACATGTTTTGGATTGTGTCAAGATAGATAGCAAGCTTTTGGAGCTAGTTAGGTTCATTGCTAAGAAGCAACTTCAATCTCTGTCTGCATTTTTGAAGGTAAATGCAGCAGCAGCTGCTGCTGTTTTCACCACCACCACCACACTACTCTCTGTGTTTGTGAACGGTTCTTAATGTATTTCAGATGAAAAATAGATGGACTCATTGAGGAAACGGGCATGTAAGGGAAACTTAGTAATGGCAAAGGTAGAAGTGTATGAAGGTGCTTCTAGTGCACAGGAAAAATCTAACCATGGATTTTTTATTTGGTTATTTATCGGTCATGTGTTTGAAGCTATCGTGCTTCTATGTTAACTTGATTTTGGATTTGCTGTTACATTTTTACCTAAGAGGTATCTCTCAGGAGAAACCATGGAATTTGAACTTGATACAGTAAAGTTTGAAATTGGAAATTGGTTATGGCCTCTCTCAATGTATATATATGTTCATGTATGTGGGTATGTAAATATCTGGGCTCGTTTTATGTTCGTGCATTTATATTTGTGTGAGTACATCTGTGTGTGTGTGTGAGTGTAATTAAGTGAACGTGCATGGGACCTCTTACTGTAGCAGGAAAAGAAATGTTGAATATACTGGTTGATAAGGGAAAGTTGGTTATGTTGGCAGATACGGAGACGGGACTGTAATGAACAGGGACAGCTTTTAAAAGCAAGAGTCAATGCAAAACTTTCCGTCTATCAAGCTGCAGCCAGGATGAAAGTTCAGAGTCTTGCATCTCTTGATGTGGATGGCAAGACATCCAAGAGGTTGGTGCTTGAGACTCTGGCATTG